CCCTACACTCCAATCAATAATTTATCATTTATCAGCTCTAAGGGACTGGTGAAATAGATCTCACATCTAATATCTCACGTGTTTAAATATATTTTTATAAAATAATAATATGTCTTCTATAACTGTTCTTTGGTTTTAGGAGTTCTAATTCGAATTATCATTCCTTCTCCTTCAATTTGTTTTGTAAAAAAAGTAGTTGAGCTTTTATCTTTCCTAGTGCTGCAGAATTACTCAACAGACCTAGCTTGCATAACAACCTAAAATTCAATAAAGTACCAACCAAATCTCTCTCTCTCTCTCTCTTATTTATTAATTTATTTATATATATGCATGTGATTAATAAACTTCAATATTTGTTTGCAGACACATATTTAAAAAAATATTGGGAAGAGAATACGGTAAAAAAGACAGCCAAAGTAAAATACAAGATGATGCATGCATGGTAAATACAATACTACAATAGTCTTGTTGTGTCATATTTGATATTCCCTCACATTGTCTTATTTATGGATCGTCTTCCCTATTGTCCAAGGATTTACTTTCTCGAGCATCTTAGAGAGAATTTGAGCCACTTGTCATGAGATCATGGAGATTATATATTTATTCAATTCATCGCAGAGTGTAGGTCCCAATGAGGAATCATTTTCAAGGATTAGGTTTTGGCAACAAGACACCCAATTTTGACTATAGATTAGTATGAACACAGTTTTACGTGTGTTGGAGGAGTGAGAGGGAGAGAGAAACTTAATGAAGACAAATATTCGAAGGATTAAACAAAAGTATTGGATTGGAAAGGCTACATAGGAGAGAAGAAATCGGTTCTCGTGCAGATTCACAAGGAAATGAGAGAATTCTCGTAGCTCTACGTACCGGCTTATACAAAACTTTTCTTGTTTGTCATTTTCTGTGCATGGGAGTTGACATGTTCTATATTTTAGGAACACTTGCAGAGAAGCAAAGAATCTTTCTCAGAATTACAGGTTTTATTATATCATAACATCTTTTGCCCGTTGGCAAAGGTCTACCACCTAATTTAATTATTAATTTTATATATGTAATTCTTTCAATTTGCTACGTCTATTTCAGTCTCACTTTATAAATATAGATTTTATATTTCTAATTAGTAGTGAAGTCATTTTCTTCCCTTATCTGCTATAATATTTTTTTCCTTCCTAGTTTACATTTTTGTTTCTTCTACTTGGAATTGTTACCGGAAACGGAGGTAGATGTGGTTATCGTTAAATTAAAACCAAAGCCAGTGGTTGTTATTTTCTCGAAGGATAATTAGTTATGCATTTATTTGGACACTCTAACAATGTAAATATCTTATCAACAATCATTATTGTTATAAAAGAATGAAAAATTATATTTTATTTGGTATAACCCAAAATCAAGTTTGCTTCCTAATTACATAATATCGTGTTTGAATTCGTACATTTGACATCAAAACATATTAAAGTTCCACAAATATTATAAAAAAAATAATGAATATAAAGGAAAGTACATAAAATATAAATTATCTATATCACTTCTTCTATTGTATATAAACAATCAATCTGTTGGTAAATAATTAGTAAAAAAATTTAATACCAATTTAATATGTCAAAGTTAATAGAATAATTAATATGTTAATGATAATAATGAAATAATTAGTAGTTATGTATCATTATTTTCACAATTATGTCTCTTATATTTTATCATATTATTCTATATATTATATTAGCATTTCTCTCTTTGATTATCTACTAGCATGGGGTGTTTATACATCATTTTCCTACACTAGTTAATTGTTTTACATTGTTCTGGAGCAATTCAAAAACCTATGCAAGATGTGCTAAACTGCAAGTGTTAGTAAGAAGTTCAACATATTAGATAGAGATCAACATGTTAATTGTTAAGCAACATATATGTGATAAAGACTCACAGACATATACCTTGAGATTTTAGGTTTCATGTAATGTTAAATTCACATGTTTTGACTTGTGACTGTGATCCATTGTTAAAAAACTTCTTAACTATTAATTGATGTGAACTAACTTGAGTATGTAAAGTGTATTGGGTAAAATAATTTTAGTGAGACACTATTTAATACTCGTGCCTCACAAGTTTCGTGTGGTTATTTAGACCATAACATTGAATACTCATATATATCTCACAAAGTTTACTCATTTGGTTAGCTATTGATTAGGCATCACAGTGGGGCAGCCAGGTGAATTTTGTCCTCCTTGTTCCTATACCTACAAAAGATTCAGGTTCTCGACTTAAAAAAAAAAAAAAAAAAGCTGGTTTAAAATTTATATTTCAATTTTATTCTTATCGGAATTTATTGTGTCCAAGGAATCCCGACACCTTTTTCTACAATTTTAATTTACTTATTATTTTTAAATAAAATACATGTTAAGTTATTAATTATATTTTAATTCAAATAAGATAAAAAAAACAAAGAATTTAATCTCAAGTCAAATATATTTGTTCCAGACTAGACCTTGCTTTAACAAGTTGGGAGAAAATCCAAACCATACTTTAACCAAAACAAATTTTTTTTGGTCATGCCTACTCATGACCTATTGATAGAAATTATTTCTTTGGATGTTTTACCTCCCATCTATTTCTAACAAGATGAGCTAGACTCCTCAATTTAGTCAACTTGAATCTGCCTAACAAAACAGACTAGCTTAACTTCATCTAAAAATATACCTTGAGAAACTCTTCTTGCACCTAGGCTCTTGAAAGATGATTTTAGTCACATTCATTACGAGAGAAAATAAAATTAATGACAATTTATATTTATGACTCAAAATAGTGAGGATAAAACAATTTTTCGTAACTAAATTTCTTCACTAGTTCTTTATTTTATTTGTAATGATTTTCCAATTTATTTATTTCTTAATTTATACGATTTTATAATAAATGATAAACAAGATCTGTATATGTTACATTAACGTCGTGTTTGCTCCGATGGAATAGGTCAACAGGGAGAGGAGGAGGGAACTGTGAGAATTAAGGGGTAAGTTTATTATTTATAGTTGTTTGATAGAAAAGCATAATATAAAAGTGTGCAGGTTGTTTTAATGAGTCCCACAATCATACCTTAAAATTGAGGAGATTTGTGTGAAAGTGAAGATGAATGTTTCTTTTTTCTTTTTTCTTTTTCCTCCTTTTACCCTCAATTAGAAAAATCCGTTACCAAGACATTAAAGCATAATTGATTATGCGATTGCCCGCTACTCCTCCTGTTCCATACTATATAATTGATATCATTCTCTTGATTTAAAAATGCATATAATATGCGTATGTGGTTACGAAATATCAGTTATATATATAATTCATTATATTATATGTGAAATATAATTGATAATATAACCTTTAAATTAAAATAAAAGTTAATGAAATTAATGGTAAGATAAGATGTATAAATGTAGTTGTAAAAAAATATAACTTAAACTTTTTTATTCAAAAAACATATGATTTCTTT